GAGAGAGAGAGAGAGAGAGAGAGAGAGAGAGAGAGAGAAAGAGAGAGAGAGAGACTATTCAAAGGCAAACTTTCAATGATCCACCTCTTTCTAACTGGGGCTGACCTCAAAACTACACATTCAAATATGAACTTATCACTGGTTTAATCCACTGATAAATATAATGCCCCCATGATCCAATCACCTTCCAAAATCCCCACCTCTGAACACAGGAGACTGGTAAGGGACATTTTAGATTTAAATTATAAAATAGTATTATTCTAAGTTCTTTAGGAAAAGGGAAGAATACAGAGTATGGAATAATGCTAAAGTCATGTCATAAACAGCAACAGAAGTATCTGGGGATGTTTAGTACTTGGAAGAGAATATTAGGAGAAAGGGGAGAAAGGCAAGAAAGTTTTCTGTAAATATTCGAAGAACTCTCATGTGGAAGGAGAAAAATATCCTTGATTTTTCTGAGTAGTGCACAATACTTTATCTTTGCTTACTGGTCTGGAGGAACAGACTCATTCTATTTTAATAACTTAGGAAAACAAAAAGGTAGGGTTATTTTCCAAGATCCTCCAAAAGTAGCAACATGACTAATTTGTGAAAACTCTATGGTGGGAATTTTGGAATAGTCTGGAAGATAATGGAGTCCTTAACATTAATGGTCTTCTAACAGAAATTGGATGACTTCTCGGCAGGCATAACATAGAGGGGATTGAAAGCAGTAGGGATGATTTGACCAGATACAATTTGAGGTTTCATCTTAATTTAAATGTTTTTATTCAGTGGCGTGTTGCAATGTTTGTATTGCTTTATGGTATAATAGACATGGACCATAAACCCCTGAGCAAAGACTGTAACTTATCCTCAGAAAATGCAGTTTATTAAGGAACTTTTATGTGTGTGTGGTTGCAGGTTCCATCTAGATTCACAGCTAACTTTCAAGGAAAAACAAACACACACCTCTTTTATTTTTTTAAAGCTCAACGTCTTTAGTAGAATTTAAGTGATAGAAGTGCCAGAGGGGAAAAAATCCTTAGGCCATTTTCTCTCTCTCTTTTTTTTTTCCAGGAAGTTCTTAATAACAACTCAAAAACTAATTTCCAAGAAAATACACAAGCTCTTGCTTTGTCTCCTTTTAGGACACCTGCAGTGAATATCGGGGTCTTCTGCAAAATGGAAATCTTTTCTGCACAAGAGAAAATGACCCTGTGCGTGGCCCAGATGGCAAGACCCATGGCAACAAGTGTGCCATGTGCAAGGCAGTCTTGTGAGTACACAAAGAAAGCTCTTGTCATGGTTGGAAGGGTTAGGGATGCAAAAAGCCAGGTGGGTAATATACATCATGTTTCTCCTTTCCTTATACATGAAAGTAGCAAATGATTATCTGTAAAACGGTTTCAGGTGAATTTTTATTATGGCTTCTAGGGTAGAAAATACATCATTAGGCTATTATATTTCCTATTAGTTGTAGAGTAGACCCTACCAGTGGGTCATGGCATCTTTCTTGATAAAGTTTTTTCAAGTGGAGCGTTGTCTGGATCATCTTGGAATTTCCCTTGAAAAGAGAACATAGATTTTACTATCAATGTGATTCTTCTATTCACATTTATTTCTTGAGGCTTAAAAATCATTTTTTATTATACATCTTCACACTACATAATGTTTACATTCCTTGTATGGACTTGGTATATACATAACACATCTGAATTCCTTTGTTCATCCCCTTTCCACCCCCAGAGAGAGATAGCTGTTTACCCACATTTAAAAATATATCACATTTCAGGAAATGAAGAGTAATTCTTCACACAGAATTTGGAAGTACACCTAAAATATTTAAATTACACAACAGTGATTTGCTGAATATCCACAACATAGGATGTGACTAGTGATTATACAAAGAAAAATGAAACAGACACTGTTATCAGGGATTAGTCCTCTGGGTATTAGACATGAGCATAAGGTAAGAAAATACAAGAGAGGAATAAATTGCTAAATGAAAAATGATCTATATAATGTGCTATGGTACATAAAGGGGGAGCTAGTACAAAGTTTAGAGTGGGGATATACAGTAAATGAAACATAATTTGGATAAGATTTAGACTTGACAGGAAGAAATGAGAAGCGGGGGAGCTGCCCAGTCGAATCAAAGTTAAGAAAACTATAGTATGTCATGAGCAAGCCATTAAGTTTGGTTAGGACTTGCCAATGTTTGCAACTTTGAATGCCAAAACAAGGATTTTGAGATCAATTGTGCATATACTAAGAAATTATTAACATTTTTCAGGTAGGAGAGAAAATGGCTGAAATATCCTTGCTTTAGGAAGATCCATATGTCAGCAGTTTTTAAAATGGGAAAAAAAGAAGGAATGAAAATTCAGAATGCTACTGGTACTGGGGGAAGGAGTTGCTGCAGTCCAGTGAGAGGCAGCTAGAAGAAGGAGTGGGGTAGAAAATCAGTGGATCAAGATTTTCAAGAGACACTGGCAGTCAAATTCATGTTATGTGGTAACAGATAAGCAAGCTATAAGAGAGGAAACAGTGGGCCGGGGATTTAACTTAGTGGTTTCGCCGCCTGCTGCGCAAGAGTAAGGACCCGAGTTCGATCTCCGGTACCAAAAAAAAGAAAAAGAGAGAGAGGGAACAGTTATAGAGGATCCCAGTGTTTTGTTCTTCGTGAGAAGCAGAGAATCCAGGAGGCAGATCATGCTTAGTGGAGAAGATAATTTACTCTGGGGGCCTCTTGAACATGAGATGTTTATGCGAAATATAGCTGAAGATTCCCCCAGGAATGTTTAGGAAATGATAATTACTGAGTTTGTCTTATTTCTGCTTATGTATATGTTGGTTTTTCTTTTATGGTAATAAGAGCTTTTCTAGGCAAAAGAATCCATATAATTTCTCATTTTTATTTTTAGACAAGAGGGCCAGGGACATAGTCGATGTTAATTAAATGCTGGTCAGTTCTGTACCAGCCTACTTTGGTTATGTGATGAGACAGTCACAGGATAGCTCTATTTTCTGTAAGCTATTTTTCCTTATCTTCTATTTTCTAATTTCTAGCCAGAAAGAAAATGAAGAAAGAAAGAAGAAAGAAGAGGAAAATCAGAAAAATGCTGGCAGACATGGTTCAAATGGTGGAGGAGGTAAAGCTCAGGTGAGGGCAACCTCCACTTTCCATAACCAGAGTGGCCTGGACTCACTGACAGTGGGACTGTGTCCTGGCTAAAGGAAAGGGGATGTAGGAAGAGCAGATGCTGAGCTGTCTTGGGAGAAGAGGACTGCCTCTTAGGGCTGTAGGGCAAGAAACTAACAATTGCAGTTTCTCTAGGGCTCTTTTGATACCTTTAAACATGTAAATAATTAACAATATGGTGACTTTATCCTAGCATCTTGACCCCTGGTCTAGGAATGTAGCCTTTGTGTCGATATGCCTTCTCATTAGCATCATGTGCTCTTCATTTTCTGCCATTATTCTTTCTTGCCCTGAATGGAACCAAGTTTTTGAGTTATCTTTTCTGTTAATCTAAGGCAGCATAATAGGGTGGAAGACCGTAGACTTTAGGGTCATTTGAGGTAGAATCCTGACGTCTATCTTTTGGACTTGAAGCACTGAATAAATTACTTCATCTACCTTATCTAGCAGTACTTTTGTAAAAAAAAAAATAGATAAACTTAAATAATTTAGGCAAATATTTAGTATATCTCCTGAGACATTTTTAAGTACCAGCATGATGTTATTGAATGTAAGGTAATTTCTTGGGCCTCCTAACACCATTGGTAAAATTACAGTTATCTATCTTATTTATCTTCTTACAACCTTGGAATACAGTACAGTGAATGTTTAAATTTTAAAAATATTACAGTAAAAAGCATATTCTCACTGATCTCCGTCCCTCACTCTTTATTTCAAAGAGATTTATTTCATTGTTCTTGTCACTTTCTGAAACTTCTTGAAATATTCTTTCCTGAGTTTTTTCGAGGAGCCATCAAAAATACAGTGAGTGCTGCTGCTATCAGAAGAGCAGGCTCATAAAAACATTGTTATGTGTCCTCGTCTACTTTACTCATTGGATCTGGCACTGTGCAACTTCTGGCTCTTCTTCAAAGTCAAAATAATCATGAAAGTTAAACATTTTGAATGAATTTAGGACCTAGAGGCAGCCACCATGATGTCAAGACAAACAAAAAAAAAAAGACAAACAAAAAAGAACTTCCAGAACTTTTTCAAAAAGTGACAAGAACAATGGGGTAAGTATGTTAGAAGCAAAGTGGAGTATTTTGAGGTAGATTAATATCAAAGTATTTTTTACTGTAATAAATTTTTTAAAGTTTTTCAGTATTCACCATATATTTTGATTATACCTTATATCAAGACTATCTCATTTCCACATCACCACAGGCCCAAATTTTATCATTTATAAACATCTGTCATTTGTTTTTTATCTCTTTGTCTTTAGGAAGCTGAACCTCACCCTCAAGAAGTAGAGCTGTTGAAAGTTTTTGTCTTCTTCAAAATTTGTTCACATACTTTTGTGCTTTCCTATCATTTTTCTATAAATTCTATTCACACTAACAGGTAGTGCATTTTTTTCTGTAAAAAGCCAATGAGTAGGCATTGTGGTCAACTTCTGTCTGCGGTAACTACTGTCTATCAATTCTAACTGTTCATCTAATTCTAACTATTACTATCATTTCTGACGTAATTGTGGGAAAGGAGGCATAAACAAAACCCAAATAAATGAGGAAAGAAGTGTTTCAATAAAATCTTACGTATCAGAGCAGGATGCAGGACAGATCTGATCTGTGAGAATGGTTTGCTAGACTTTAATCTATGCTATTAAATCTTAACCAGCTTTATAATTTTCTTATGTAGACCTTTAGAAGTAATATTAGAAGCTGTGATAACTGACCCCTTTTAATTGGAATATGGATGCTTCTCACTACTCTTTCTCTATGGAAAACAATCTTAGATATAATTCTTATATGGGGAGGTAGACAAGAACTTTTCTTACTCAGATTGTTTAACAAATTAATGACAACAGACTAAGCAAACTAAGTAACTCTAGAGGGCTGCTTTCTTCCCCCTTATCAGGACCCATGTGCTGAGTACCGGGAAAGAGTGAAAAATGGAAAACTCAGCTGCACTCGGGAGAATGATCCTGTGCGTGGTACGGATGGGAAATCATACAACAACAAATGTGCCATGTGCAAAGAAATACTGTAAGTGCTTATCACAATAGGCATGGCTAAAATATTGCCACCATTCCTCCCGAATGAATGGTTATTTCTCATATTCTGTGGCTTCCTCCATGAAAATCATGCTTTTTGTTAATTCCTAAATATTATTGCTTTTTTCTCTTGCATTTCATAAGGAACATGAGCCTTAGAAGGACAGCTAACCAACTGACTGATTCCTACTCTGTTTTTTATTATAATTCTATGACCCCTGAGTGCCATCATGATAGATTAATGTTTTTCATTTTGCCTCAATCCTAGGAAGACTTTATGATGATCATTTAGAATAATCAACCAGTACAGCTTAGGAGATATGGTTCCTGTCATATACATGGGTCACACTTATTACATAAATAAAGGACTGGTGTCTTCTACTTATTTTCACATGGTGAATGGAATTGAATTAGAGTGCTTTGCTACCCAGTGTAGCCACTAATGATTTGTGTTGTCAGGTCAAGAAACATAATTATATTTTAGTTCTATCTGTAAAGTGAGGTACTTGTAGGTGACTTGGAATAGTATGTGTAGTTCTAATAGTATGTGTAGTTACCAGAGTGCATTACAGCATTTATTTAATATGTGTTTAATAAATACTTAATGCCCTCCCTCCCACACACATTTTTCATCTTTCTGATTGAAAAAAGTATAATCTTTTGATTATACAAGTGATGTGGTAAAATCTCATCTAAATGCTACATATTACCTGGTATTTGTTAATGTCTAATATGTATTTGTTAATGTCACTTTAGACACTAAGCCTGATATTTTTTAATGTGTCTTCCAGGCAAAGAGAAGCAGAGGAAAAAGAAAAGAATTCTGGCTTAAAATCTGATAAGACTGGGTCAGCATCAGGAAAGGTATGTCATTGACAAAGTTTTTATTCTGTAAATCACACTTGCCAATCACAAACATGGAACGAGGCAGTCAATATGGTCAACTGAGATCTTGCCCTCAGAAGGTCAGGAGCCACGGTTAATTTGAATATTACTGGTAACACATTCAGTGTACAAATCTAAGGCCAAGTGGTAATCCTTCTAATACTTAACAAGGCACTTTCATAGACAGTATACTATAAACAATGGCTTATGATAACACAAGGTGATAACTCATATTTATGAAATCTAGAGTTTCTAAAGAAACTAGGGTGTGGCTAACCTAGTGTCCCTTTGGGGAAGTTCTGTGGGAGGATCTGCTTGTTTGTGTTTCTAACTTCTGGAGACTACCTTCATTCCTTAGCTTGCAGCCACCTTTAAAGTCCACAGTGACCAGTCACATCTTTGTGATGCTGTATCATTCTGACACTGTTTTCTAGTCTCCCTTTTTCATGGATAAAAATCTTTAGGATTACATTGGCTCCACTCTGATAATCTCAAATAATCCCTCTCTATTTCAAATACAGCTGATTGGCAACTGCAAGTCCATGTAGAACCAAAATTAGGGCATGGACATCTTTATGGACCATTATTTTCCTACTATAGCAAGGTGAAGAGTCTCCCTAATTCTTAGAAGGAAGTTTTCTGACTTTCAAATACAATAAAAGACTATATGAAAACAGCATTTCTGATGTAGACTTCCTTCTTTTTAGGATGTATGTGATCAGTATAGAAGCCAAATGAAAAATGGAAAACTCATCTGCACTCGAGAAAGTGACCCTGTTCGGGGTCCAGATGGAAAGACACATGGCAACAAGTGTTCTATGTGCAAAGCCAAACTGTGAGTATTTTCCAAAAGTGAGGTTTTGATTCTGAGTCTTGAATACATAATGATCATTTCTCAACAGTTTAGGAAAATGACAATTGTTTTGGAAACAGGTCTTGTAATTAATGAGGTGTTTATTCATTTTGGTTTAAATGTTTCTTTTCATCCACCCAGGGAAAAAGAGGCAGCTGAAAAAAAAAAGAAAGAGAAGGAAGGCAACCATAATGCAGGAGAAAAGAGCAATGACAAGAAGGTAATACAAGTTAGACACACTAATATAGAAATTTGCCTGATTCATCATGCAATGAATTCATTTAAGAAATGTGTGTGGAATGCTATCTTTTAATCATTTGGGATATAATGGTAAACAAGAAAGACATGGCTAGATCCTACAAAAAAATAACATGTCATTGAACACCTTACAGAACAGGTATGATGAAATTACCACACATTTGTAGGACCAATGACAATGCCAACTTGTTATAATTAGCCATCCAGTGAATTTCATTTCCAAAGTTTTAAAAATAATAAACAGATGTCAGAAATTACAAACAAGAAAGCAAGTATCAGTATGTGAATTCTATCTGGACATGGTGACACATGTCTGGAATCCCAGCTTTTATAGCAGGCTGACGCAGGAGGATCACAAGTTTGAGGCCAGCCTGGTGTACATTGCAATTTGAAGGCCAGCCTGGTCTACACTGTGAGGCCCTGTCTCATCACAAAACTAAACAAAACAAAAAGGTATTATGAAAGCCTGGTTGGTAAAGTCTTTAGTTTGCCTTTCAGTGCCACCTACTGTTCAGTTTGGGGCTTTGTACATCATATCGGGCCACTTGACCACTCCAACACCAGGATGTCACATAGCTTGATCTCTTCTAATCTGGCCATGGACTCCAATTAGAAAAACAAAACAATAAAGTTTTCTGAGAAGATATTTCCCGTTAGTGGGGTGATTTTTCAATAGGCCTCTATTCTGACTAAATAAAAATGTAATGTTGACACTACTTATAATTATTTTAGGAACATCTACTGTACATTTTGGTAGATGAATGTCTTTGATAAAACACTTTATTGTACAACCTTAAGTTGATCTCTACTGTACATCAGTCATTTTTCAAATGTGTAATATTTATCTGAAACATTTCAAACAGAAACACAACCATATATATATATATATAAACATATATATTTCTAATATTCAGATTGTATGTAGACATCTGAGAACTACGATTTTATCTAAATGTGCAAAGTAAAATAAAGTTTGCAAATTATCATGTTTAAGCACCCCAAAAAATCTATGGTGTGGGTTGTTCCAACTTTAGAGTTGAGAAATTCAAGAATCAGTAATTACAAATAAACAATAAACAGAAAAAACAAAGCCAGGTGTGATGGCAATGCTTATAATCCCAGTACTCCAGGAGCCTGAGGCAGGAGGATCTCAAGTTTGAGCCCGGCCTAGGCACTTAGGTAATTTAGTGAGATCCTATTTCAAAAACAACAAGGAGGAGAAGAGGACTGGGTATGTAACTCAATGTGAAGGTTCTGGGTTTAATTCCTACTGCTGCAAAAAAATTTTTTAAAAAGGAACAAGAGTCTAAACTCTTAAAGCAAAGGTTGCAATTCGGGCAGATAGGGATATTATTAACACATATGTATGCAGTTTTGTGAGCACATTACAAAGAAAATAATTCTAGTTACTTCTGAAAATGATGATCCTGAGACATTTACTATGTAGACTGGATTTCAATTCAAGATATTTTAAGAAATACAGCAGATAAAAGTAGGCCATCTACATCATACCACAGCTATATATGCACACTAATGTTTATAGCAGCACAGTTTGTAATAGCTACATCTTGGAAACAGTCCAAATGCCCATCAACTGATGCATAGACAAAGAACATGTGGGTTGTTTTTTTTTTTATGTGATGGAGTACTACTCAGCCATAAAGAAAATAAACTTGAGACATTTAAAGCTAAATGAATGCACCTTGAGGCCATACTCTTAAGTGAAATAAATAGGACACATATGTGTAAATACTGCATTGTTTCTCTGCTGTGAGAAACTGAAAGTGTAAATGAGGATGAAAATGTATTATAGATATTTTGAAATAGGAAGAAAATGTTCAAATGTGTAGAGGAAGTAGGGAAGGGGGAGGGGGAAAGGAAGGAAGGGAAAGGAAAAGAAAATGAGAAAAGAAGAAAAATGGAAAAGCCTTTGTAAATAAGAGGGGAAGAGGGATTGAAGGGAGGGTAGAGGAATGGGATAAAAAAAGAATAAAGATATACCATGTATAGGTACAAATTCTATATGATGAATGCAATTGTTATGTGTATCTAAAATGTACCAATAAATTTAATTTTTAGAAAGTAGGCCTTCTAGAAAAAGAAGAGCAAGTCAAGACCAAAGCTCATACAAGGGAGGAAATTATAAAGATCAGAGCATAAATTAGTGTAATAAAGTCTAAAAACACAATACAAAGAATCAATGAATTGAAGAATTGATTCTTTGAAAGATTTAATAAAATTGACAAACTCTTAGCCAACCTTATAAAAAAAGAAAATAAAAGACTAAGATCCATGAAATTAGGGATGAAAAGGATGAAATAACAGATCTTATGGAAATCCAGAAGATCATCAATACCTACCTGTATTTTAATAAGATGGAAAACACAGAAGAAATGGACAAATTCCTAGATACATATGAATTACCAAAGCTGCATCAAGAAGATATAAGAATTCTAAATAACCCACTATCAATCAATAAAATTGAATATGTAATTAAAAACCTATCAACAAAGAAAATCCCAGGCCCTGACAGATTCACTGATGAATTCTATAAGAAATTTGGAGAAGACCTAATGCTGCTACTTCTAAAACTCTTTAATGAAATTGAAAGGGAAGCAATACTTCCAATTTCATTCCTGGAAGCAAGCATTACCCTGATACCAAAACCAGAAAAAGAGCCAACCAAAAAACTAACTACAGGTCAATCTCCCTAATGAACATAGATGCAAAAATCCTCAGTAAGATACTGGCAAACAGAATGCAGAAAGTCATAAAGAAGATTATACACCACAACCGAGTAAGATTCATCCCAGGGATGCAGGGATGGTTCAATGTACACAATCAATAAATGTAATACACCATACTGACAGAGCCAAAGCCAAAAACTGTATGAGCCTCTCAATATATGAAGAAAAACCATTTGACAAAGTCCAATTCTAGTTCATGATAAAAAAAATCTAAGAAAATTGCAATGGATGGTCTTTATATCTCAATATGATAAAAGCCATCTATGACAAACCAACAGCCAACATTATACTAAATGGAAAAAAACTGAAAGCCTTCACTCTAAAATCAGGAACAAGACAGGTATATCCAATGTTATCACTCTTATTCAATATAGTTCTGGAAACATTTGCCAGAGCAATTAGACAAGAGAAAGAAATAAAAAGAATAAGGATAGGAAAGGAAGAAGTTAAATTATCATTATTTGTAGGTGGCATGATACTCTAGAAGACTCCAAAAACTGCACCAAATGCCTTCTAGATTTAATAACCAAATTCAGTAGCAGAGCAAAATACAAAGTCAACACTCAGAAATCAATAGCATTTCTGACACAAATAACAAACTCACTGAGAGAGAATTTAGGGAAACAACAACTTTCATGATAGTATCCAAAAAATGAAATACCTAGGAATCAATCTAACATAGGAAGTAAAAGACCTTTACATTGAAAACTACAGTACTCTGAAAAAGGAAATTGAATAGGATATCAGCAAATGGAAAGATATTCCTTTTTCTTGGGTAGGAACAACCTGTATAGTGAAAATGGCTATACTTCCAAAATTTTTATACAGATGTGGGGCAATCCTGATCAAAATAGCAACAGCATATCTCACAGAATTAGAGAAAAAATTCTTAAAATTCATTTGGAACCATAAGAGGCCTAGAATAACAAAAGCAATTCTGGGCAACAAAGACAAGGCAGTGGGACATCACAGTCCCTGACTTGAAATTATATTACAAAGCTACTGTGATAAAAACAGCATGCTACTGGAAAAAAAAACAGACCAGAGGATCAGTGGAACATATTAAAAGATGCAGAGACAACTCCAAACACATTCAGTCACCTTATCATTGACAAAGGAGCCAAATTTTTCAAAGAAAAATAGCCTCTTAAATAAATGTTGCTAGTAAAACAGGTTTTTCCACATGCCGAAGATTATAACTAGACACATATTTCTTACCATGCTCTAAATTAAAATTGAAATGGATCAAAGATCTAAATATTAAAACAGAAACTACTAAATCTGCTGGACTAGAGACTAGGTAGAACTCATAAAGACATTGTTGTAAGCAAAGACTTTAGGAACAAAACCTCGATCACACAGGAAATATCACAAAGAATCAAAAACTAGGATCTCATCTTTTTAGAAAGCTTTTGCACAGCAAAAGAAATCACCCACAGAGTGAAGAGACAACCACAGAGTGGGAAAAAAAATTTTCCTCAGAAAAAGGAATAATATCTGTAATATATAAAGAACTAAAAAACAAAACAAAACGGAGTTCCCAAATTTAAAGACCCAATCCAAAAATGGGCATCTGAAATGAAAAGACACTTCTCAGATGAAGTAGAAACAGCAAATAAATATATGAAAAAATTTTCAACAGACTGGTGATTTGAGAGCTGCAAATTAAAATAACATTGAGATTCCACCTCACCCTAGTATGAATGGCTGTTATCAAGAAATCAACCAATAACAAATGCTAGAGGGGATGTGGAGGAAAAAGGAATCTTTCTCCACTGTTGGTGGGAGTGTAGACTGGTGCAACCATTGTGGAAATCAGTGTGAAAATTCCTCAAAAAACTAAAACTAGAGGCTCCTTTTGACCCCAGTATTCCCCTTCTTGGTATCTTTTCAAAAGAATTAAAAGCATCCTACCACAGCTATATATGCACACCCATGTTTATAGAAGCACAGTTTGTAATAGCTAAAGCTTGGAAAAAGCCCAAATATCCATCAACTGAAGAATGAATAAAGAAGATGTGGTTGTTTTATGCAATGGAGTACTACTCAACCATAAAGAAGAATAGGATTGAGACATTTCTAGGTAAATGGATGGACCTTGAGACTACACTCTTAAGTGAAATAAATTGGACACGTTTAAATACTGCATTGCTTCTCTGGTATGAGAAACCAAAGGTATAAATAAAGACAAAAATGTATAATAGATATTGAGAAATGGGAAGAAAATGTTCTAATGAGAAGGAGGAAGAGGAAGAGGGGAGGGGGGAAAGAAGGAAGGGACAAGAAAAAAAGAATAGAAGAAAAAATGGAATTAAAGCTTTTGTAAATACAGAGGGGAAGAGAGGTTGAAGGGAAGGGAGAGGAACAGGGAAAAAGAACCAAGATGTATCAAGTACAGGTACAAATTCCCTATGATGAATGTCATTGTGCATATCTAAAATATATCAACAAAATTTTTGAAAAGTAGGCCTGGAATTCTTTATGGGTATCACAATTTGAAGAAAGAAGGAAAATCACAATCTAAGTTACCAACAGTATTTTTATTATCTTTTCTGTTTTATTATTTATTAGTACATGTTTATATTGCAGGATGATCATATTCCTTATGCAGGGTTGGTACATGGACATAATACATTTTCAATCTTTTTTCATCCCTTTTCTTTCCTTCTCTTCCACTCTCCCTCCATCCCTTGAATCCTTTCCCCTTTGAACAAAATCTATCGCCCTACTTCCTATTATGTATCTTCTCTTTTGGTCCTTGTCTATATTTTAGATTTCTCATGTGAAGAAACTCTGTAGTGTTTAAGCTGCTAGTGGTATTTTTTAAGATAATGTTTCCATGTGTCTACTTTGTCTCTTTAGGTTTTAAGAGAAGATTTCAACAGAAGCCAGATCCCTTGGGCTCAGTTCCACGGGTTCTTTTTTTTTTTTATTTTTCAATCAACAAAATGTCAGGTCTATTTTCATACAACTGGTAGGAGTTTCATTCTCTGCCAAATGAAAGTGAAGGAGTAAAAAAGATAGCTCATTTACAAATTAATTTTCCTTGGTTTTAGTTCTAATAAAAAGACTGAAGAGTGTTTTCAAAAATGCCAGTTCTGTCCTTATTTTCTACCAAATGTAACTCAAAAAACAAAATACATTTAAATAAGTTTGAGGCCTTTGGATTTGCCATAATTTCTTTGATTTTTTTTCTCTATTATTTTTCAAATAAAATATTTTGTTTAAAAAAAGAATGCTCTAGGTGTTAGCAGGTTTCTGGTCCTAAATCCAGCACTAACTTTGACTACTCAATGACCGTGTCTTATTTTTCTCATCTGTAAAATGGGGACAACAAATGTTTATCTTAGATGATTTGTAGGGTCACTAAAGGAAATTGATTAAAGCACAGAAGAACAAATGTCTGGCATGTAATACACATTATTTTTTAGAAATATATTGTTATTCAAAAACAAAACTGAAAGCATTTTTAGCTTATTCTAAGAGTTTTAAAAATTACACATTTTGGATGGAGTAATGAGTGCAGTTGCAGGGAGATATATTTGGGGCCCATCTTCACAGAAACTGTGCAGAAATGGCGTGGGCTACCTAGGCAGTAGTACAGTTCCCCTGGGGCAAGACAGTTATTGAGAGAGATCTAAGGGAGGATTCAAATTCAAATGTCTTAGGCAGATTGAAAAAGGGCCTTTAAAACACATTCCATCTCTGAAACCTCATTTTCTCTATTTTTTTCCTTAAGTGTTATGAGTTCCTATCTAACCAGTCAGTCATAGTTTCACAATTCAAAGGTTAAATTATAGTAGTAACACTTTTTTTCTTCTGTTCAGCAGGATCAGTGCTATGAATTCCGGAACAAGCAGAAGGATGGGAAACTTGTGTGCACCAGAGATAACAACCCTGTTCGAGGCCCCGATGGCAAGATGCATGTCAACAAGTGTGCCATGTGCCAGAGCATCTTGTATGTAAAGAGGCCCCTCCATGAGTTCTGTATATTGGTGTCTGTTTGCCAGAAAATAGTTCTTATTACTTTCCACCTGAGACACTTTACATGTTACAGATAAGTAGCTTCTCATTTTAGAGATGAATAGTTAGCTCCAAAGTACTTTAACAAGAATATTTATTCTGATGATGAAAACATAATCACCTTCGGAGTCTCTGGGTAGGATTATATGCTGACAAAATTGGTGATCTTTAAAGAGAAAGTGTACCAGAAAGTAACCAGAGATAGGCTGGTTTGCTTTATGGAGCCTCAGTTCTGCTGATATATAAAAGAAATACTGTAACTGCACAATATAGTTTTGTGGCAGTTCAAAGTAATACTACATTTAAAAAGTATTTATAAACTTCAAATCCTTCTATGTATAGAACAACCAAAACTGAGAATTGAGTTAAAATTTAATCAGGAAAGTGAAAAAGAAAATGAGACAGCTTTCTATGTTTTAAAATGTTTACAGTACATAATTATTATATTCATGGTGGAGAGCTGATAAATGTATATAACACATCTTAAGAGGCAACCTTCTAAATGACAGTGTAGAATATTTATTCTACAATATTCTAAAAATAGCCTTTCAGTATAATATCATCCTGGGTGACTGAATCATTTAAAACTGGGAATATTGCTACAAATATTATATGAAAATTCCAATATTTGAAACTGCCTAAAGAATAGTATTTTTAATTTTTTAAACATGAGAAAAAATGTTACATTTTTTAATGTTTAGCATTGGAAAATTACTTAAACAGAATTCAATAATAACTCTAGAAAAATCCTATTATCCTTCTTTTTTATTTTACAGTGAGCGAGAAGCTAGGGAAAGGAAAAAAGATGATGAAGAAAAATCAAATTCCCAACCCTCAAAGGATGCAAAGGTTATTTACTAAAAGCTAACAAAATAACTCTTACTTTTCACCTTCAGAATCTTGCTTTCTTCTCCAAGGATCGGATTATAAAGATACTAATACTTTGCTTCAAAGAAAAATCATTTTGTCAACATTGATACTTTGGGTCATAATAAGAGTTTGTTGCTGTGATTTGGGGCTTGATGGGGCTTTCTTGATTTTGTAGATTTCCTCTAGAATGTGTGTTAATTGTTGCTTTAGGCATTTTGCTTTTGGAGAAATATGGATTGAAAAGTAGAGCATGTAATCCCTTATCACCTGAACTGCATGCTTTATTTCTGACATTTTAAATGTGAAATCAGGCAGGTAGCTTGTTGATGATTTTTATAATTCAGGTAATATTAATTAATCTTAAATTTCCTGTTTAGCTTCTCTCTTTGATATCTCTTTTATTTTCTCCAGATGATTTTCTCAGCATCAATGAATCAATAATGTGCATGCATCATGCTACCTTTTCTATTTGCTTTTCAAGACTGCAAAGAAGACATCTTCATTCAGTCCTTTAACAGTGATAATCACATTTGTAGAGTTAGGTTCTCCTTGGGTTAAAAGCACACCTTAAGTGGAAAATGGGGGAAAGGAACAATGGATGAAAGGGAGAGGGAGACAAATAGGGTCTATCAAGTGTTGTTTTATGTTTCCCTCCACTTCCAGGACCAGTGCAAAGAGGTTACGAGTGAAGCAGAAGATACAAACTTTAGACAGTCTGGGAGTTCCTTGGCCTACATTGGCATAAGTGCAGTGAGTCTGAGCCCAGGGCTAGGAGAGGATTCCCTAAAAACAAGTCTGAGAAAACAACCAAGCAAAAGGGAAAAGGCCATGTTCACTTCCCTTTTCACATTTTCTAGGATGAGTGCAGTGAATTTCGGAAGAATGAGAGGAACAATGAGCTAGCCTGCACGCAGGAGAATGACCCTGTGCGCAGTGCCGACGGGAGGACCTATAAAAACAAGTGCTTCAAGTGCAGAGCTGTCTTGTGAGTACAGGAGTCTGCTCCAGCTTCAGTTATCCACGGACCTGCACAGCTAGAAATTGCTGATTTAATAAACATGTGTACTCATATGTCCATAGAGTTCTTCACTGGTCTTCAGGATCAAGGTCCTTAGCTTGAGAATATCTGACAGTATAAAGGGAGCTTGGACTAGAAACAGGAAACCAGATGTAAGTTCTAATCAGAGGGCTAGCTGTGTAACTTAATGTTTTCCCACTTTAAGCATCATAGTTGGAAGAAATTGTTACAAATCTCTGTTCCACAACTATAGCAGACCCAACTGAAAAGCCTATTTTAAAGAATACAGTTGTTTTGTGCTTCAAAATATATTAAGTCAGAACTTCTAGGGCTAAAGAATTTGCTTTCTGGAAAGGGTTTCTAAAGCAAATTCAGAGACCAATGGACAGGATGGTGATGTTTTTAAAAACCACGAGGAAAACATATTACTTAACTTTCTACAAGTGCATGTTCTTTGAGGTGAAATTACCAGTACGGCTCTGTTCTTGTGTTCTAGGAAGCTGAAACTCAGACTTTAGCCACTTGCCTAAGGTTTCACATCTATTACGTGACCAGAGCTCTTAGCCTGTTTCCAGTTGTCTACTTATCTTGATATACCATCCTAGTTACTCTTTGAATGTTTTATGACTCTAACTTGGTTTCCTATGATTATTTAACTTTCCACTGGAAGTTACAGAGCTGGCCCTTGTGAATATTGATTTAAATTAATTTTTATTTCCTTCTCTAGTCAAAAGGAAGCTTTAGAAAGGGCAAAACTTCAAGCAACGCCATCCCATATTAGAGCATCTGAAGAGAGACTGGATTCCTCCAATTCTTCTCTGGTAAGAATGATGCTTTCTGAAAAGCTACTCATTAAATTAACTTTTCAAGCCACAATCTCCATTTGCACAGAAGGATCTCGGGATGCTGATACAGTGCAGCTTCAAGTGGCTTCAGGACTAAGTGTAGTTTGTGCTTAGTGAAAGCTCTGGGATTACTCATCTGTCATTATTCTATTCTTTGAAATCATTAGCCTTGATTCAGTTTAGTATATTTAAAAATTTTAAGAAGTGAGTGTGTAGTGAATGTGACTAATCTCATCTGTGTTCGATGCCTGAATTCTGGAATTTCAACAGATGGAAAAGGTTCATCATTCAGCTTCCACTTACTGCCCATCCCATCTGAATCCTTTCCCAATCATCTAGAGTGCAGAGGGGAGCTGAAGGATAAGCGCTTTTGGAAATACAGGGAGGCACATACGGAAGTGAGACAATACCTGAGCAATTGCAATAATCCCCAGAAGAGAAAATGCAGATTTTCACCATGGTAGAAGTGGTGAAGCTCATGGGAGATAGATGAACATGGGGTTCATTTGGAAGATGAAGTAAACAAAATTGGTTCAGAACTGATGTACTATGTATGAAAAAATAAACATCCTTTTTTGTTTCCTCTCTCTGCTTTTTCTTTGGAATGCTTTATCCAAGTACTTACTGGACCCTGCAAAAACAGTTACCTTCAAAATATGATTTATTTACCTGGGTTAATCCACCTTTGCCAGAGATTCATAGAAGTTGCTTGTCTAAATTCTACCTGAATATTTATATCAATATGGAGCAATCTAAACAAAACATACAAAATAATATGCAATATAAAACAATTCATTTAGATGTTTGAATCATTAAGCAAAGCAAAAGAACAAGCAAGTTAATACGCTTGGCACCTCTGAAATGAACATTAGAGATACTATACTGATAAATTTATTTGTGTTCTTTGCTTCAGAAAGTAGTCTTCAAGAATTTTATTAATTTAAATTGTTAAAATTTTAGCACAGATTTATTCATAACACTTCTACATCATCCTTTTAATAGCTATAGTTCATATACTTTTTGTCTTTTTTATTTCTAATAATGGTGATGTGTTTTCCTACTTTATTAATCTTTTTATTTATTTAGTAATGTTTCAAGCAGCTACTTGGCTTTGTTCTAATTTCTGTTTCATCACTTTCTCTTCTTTACTCTTTCTGTTATTTTCTTTGAGCTTAATTTTCTCTTTAGCTGCTATCTTTTTGAGAGTTAGATTATTGATTTTTTAGAACAGTCTCTTTTTAACAATGTCTGTATAAAATCATAACTTTTCCTTACCTCTCTTCTTTAATTTCTGAGATTTGATAGCTTATATTTTCATTGTCATTTACTCCCAACTATTTATAAATTTTATGATTACTTTAAATTTTAAGAGTTATTTAGAAAACTCATTCTGTTACTCTCAGCCTGTTACTTTCAAACTATATTTCTTGTAAACATCTTACAGTTGACTTTTTTCTTTCAGTTTGACAATTTACTTTAAGTAAAGTACTCATTAATGTTTAACACAGTTCCCTTTACCATTGGATTTGTCTTCTTCAAATCTATAATTTTTCTTTCTTTTAAAAATTCTTTTTATAGACTTACCTTTTTTTTCTTTCTTCTGATTAATCTTGTTGTTATTATTGTTGTTGTTATAGCTAGTATTTGCTTCAGGGTCTTTACTTTCTAGATTGAATATAACCAGGACCTTCATTGAGTGCCATCCTAGTGTTCTTCCGGTACCAGGGACAGAACTCAGGACCTTGCACTTGCCAGGCAGGCTCGGCTCCACTGAGCTACATCCCAAGCTCTAGTGGTCTTCCTTTAGGCATGCCCCAGCAAATCATGCCTTATATTTTGTAGGATTTTTCCTTTTTATTGTTTTGTTCTCCTTTTTTTAGAAATGCCTGTAATTAAAAGAAACCAAATCCAGGAAGTTAAAGCCACTTAATATGTTATGAAGTGATTATGGGACTTCATAAAACCTATATCACAGCTCTTGTCTTAATCATGATTAAGGAAACCAAGAGGTTCTCCCAAACTTACTGCTTCCCTTAAATACTCTTAAGCAAGTCTCCTTTATGCTTTGCTTGTTCAGGATTCTGAGATGTGCAAGAACTATCGAGTATTGCCCAGGATGGGTTTTCTTTGCCCAAAGGACTTACACCCTGTCTGTGGTGATAATGGTCAAACATATAGCAATCCTTGCATCCTATGTCATGAAAACCTGTAAGTATACAAGTTACCTCTTCCTATATTCTAGTGTAGTGGCTCCCAATTGTAGTACAAACCAACAGTAGTATGCTGATATCAATTTTAGGTGTATTGAGATCATTTATTAATCATATCAGTTAAAAAATCAAAGCATGTGAATTATCTTTCTTATATATAAAATAACAAGGACTCAGTGCTATCCCTTTAGTGAAATTGTTTACTTACATTGTCATATACTTTAATGAGTAAAAGAAAAGAACAAAAAGTGGTGGAGTTACAATTACCGAACATCTCTATAAGCCTGTGTGTTGGTATCAGAGCAAAACAGTTGAGAACCAATGCTGTATAGAGTCAACCTGACCTGCAGTATCTAAAAGGTCCTATGACCACCAGTCACTGATTTTCCACCTTCTCTAAGTATTCCTTTGAAAGTGGTACCATACAAAAGCAAAGTGGTACCATACAAAAGAAAGCACACTAGGATAAATGCCACATCTGCAGTCTATTCTCAGATTTTTTAATATCCATGTTTCCATGTTCATATACCCTCATCATTTGGAGTCTCAGTTTCTCCTTTTGAGATGTAGAAACAGTTCACTGAGGAGCTGTTTTGACAGCTATAAACATGTCTTTATTTTAGGTTAACTATAAGTGACCTGGTTTTGGTTTTGTTGTTGCTCTCTTGCTCAAATGTTATCTGATTATTGGTAATAATTTCTCCCTTTTCCACTCTTTCTCTCCATTTCACCATTTTATAACAAAAGTATGGTGACAAGTTATAAAATCTATACATAGACCTTACGTATTTTTAAAAAACTAAATCTTTATTTAACAAATGAACATATCTTCCAGGAATTCAATTATTGTATATACCATATCTCTAATCCAGAAATATTTCAGTTCCTCTTTATTTCAAATTTAAGGGCCTAAATTATCAATATAATTTCATCCAAATTTCCATTAGCTTTATAGATCCATAAAAATGGCCCTCTATTCAAGAACTTTAGAGTCAGAAACTCAAATGGATGAAAATATTAATAAAGAATGCCTTAGGATGGATTGTTTGGCTGAGGAGGCTGGGAGTAAGTATTATACAGCAAAGTGACAAATAATGGTTTCTGTGGGCTTAAAAAAGTCATAAAAGAAACATTTCAACTTATCAGTGTTCAAAGACAGACCACCTTGCCTTGTTAGACAATGAGTTTCCCATCATCAGAGGCAAACAAGATGTTTGATTTTTAATACTCTAAGTATTACAAATTTCAAGCTTTTAAATTATTTCAAACTATGAAATTCTGATTGTATTATTGTGTCTTGTTATTCTTTCCATTTCCCAAGCAATTTTATACTCAACAAAGTCAAATTCTGGAATCTAATTTTTCTATTTACAAAATGCCTTTTGGATTAATGATCTCCAAGATTCAGCATTTCTGTGAGTATAGTAGTGGATGGAATGTTATGAAATAGATTCAGGGATAGAAGATAAATCTAGAACACACAGAGAGGCTTATGCCTACTTGAAAATGGTTGAAGGAAAATCCCAGGGTAGCTCTCTAATTTCAGTTTGATTTGTTGTTTGACCATCACTCACTTTGCTCCTATTTCTTTCTCATTATAATTGTGTTTTTTCCCATCATTGAAGAGTTCTCTGTTCTATTTCAGGATACATCAGACTAATACACACATACGTAGTCTAGGGAGGTGTGAGGAGAGCAGCACTTCAGAAATGACACCTGACACTGCCCGCACAGGTGAGTACAGTGGCTCTCATGGCTACAGGGTGGGAAGTGGTTGGTTCTGTGCTTGTTCTCCTGCATGGGTAATAGAAATTTCCAGGTGAGGGAAGTGATGCTAGGCCAGGTGGTCCCAGAATTGGTCTCATTTTTACTATGAAGTATGTGGAGATAACAATAGAGCACTTTACATTTAAAACTGTTTACTGGAAAATTTAATAGGTTGTTTCTGAGAAGTGTCTGTAATCTGTCATTACTTTTTGCAGAATAGGCTTTAATCTGTGATGTACAAAGGAAAGATGAGACAGAAACTGAGAGAGAGCAGATAGTGACAGAGCTGGATTGAAACGATTACTATGTAACTGTCACATCCTTGCATGTAACACTGCATTTACTTTGTTCAACATTGGAAATTAGCCTGCTGCACTAAAACTCCTATAAAGATACCTCAACACACATTGCTGACTTTTCTATGACTTTGCTCCCTAGTGACTATATTTGAGTAGTATAGTCCTCAGAAAAGATGATCTATAACTTGGAAAAGTAGAAAGTTTTAAATAAAAGAAAATATTTGTTATAGGATAAATATGAGTTCAAATTACCATTTTTGACATTCTTCACACAGAAAACTCTGGTGAATTACCTCAACACTCTAACAGGAGAGTTCAACAAACTATCAAAATATTCACTAAACATTGGCTTCCAAGCATTAGACACAGTGCCTGAAAAATGAGTGGCATCTTTTATTATTATCACTATTTTCATAATGTGTCAGACCAAAGCGTAAATTTAGAGAAAGAGCCAAAAATATAAACTAGAAAAATAGACCCTGCCACTGTATTTAATTTTTTAAAATAAATTAAATTTAATATTCAGTAATTATACCTAATATAATAAGTAATGTTTTAATAGATGATATTTAATAAAATAATTTTATTCATAGCTATATTGCTCCATTCCACTGCCACAATAGGCTTTGACAATGATGGAATTGGAATACATGCTGCTAGGTTTAGGTATCATTGTTAAGCAAAACTATGGGAATATGAGGTCACACTTCCTTGATATGGGAGTTAGCTATGCAAGAGCTATCACCTACAGTGTTTTGGCTTTCACATAGCAGTAGTAAGACTGAGAACTAGAAAACCTCCATTTCCTTCTCCTGTGGACTTGACAGTTATTTACTTACTCTGGGTGTTTACACATTCAGAAAAAAGAAAGCTTTAAACTTTTACTCTAGATGATTTTTGTTGTTGTTGTTTTTCTTTTCTTTTTTTTTTTTTTTTTGATACCAGGGATTGAACTCGGGACCTTGCGTTTGCAAGGCAGGTGCCAGAACCACTGAGCTAAATCCCTGGCCCTACTCTAGCTGTTATATTATTTTCTCTATTTCCTATTTCCTATACATGCTTAGTGATTTGCTTCTTGTTTTCTTGATGGAATATACTATTTTTCTCACAAACATAAACACTTATGTATATTGCAGAACAAAGAGGTCAAAATAATCTTGAAGAGTCCAATAGACCTCACCTAGGACTTCACTTCCCTGTACTCTCTCATTCTGTGTAGGTGACTTGACAGAAGCTGTATCATGAGGAACTCTCCTTAAGGTTAAATTGATAAGATACATTTCTTCAAATAATGAAGAATTCTAATAGATGTCAGCATACAAGTTTTTTTTAAATAAGAAAGTTTCTTCCTTCATCTCTAGGTGTTTTCTTTCTTTTAGAATTCCACAGCATGTTTACTGAAAAATACTTGAATGCAGATCCCAGACCAGCCCTCTAATTTCAGTTTTGTTTGATGCTGAAACATCACTCACTTTGCTCCTTATCTTTTTCTCATTATAATTTTTTTCATTATTAATGACAGGAATTTTTGTGGTGTTGTTGATAGAAATCATTACAACAAAAGTTGTCCTGGACATGAATGAAATTTTAGTTCTCCTTGTACAGTTCAGTGGTGTGACCTTGGACATAATACATGACCCAGCATCGCTCTGATGACTACTATGGTTGTATATCCTGGAGATTGCAACATATTGCCTAAGCATTGCTCCTGGGTGGAAGATTCTCCAAGAGAGTCTAGCAACCCCAAAATGGAAATAATCCCAGAGAGTCACAACTTTCCTGGAAAAACAGGATGAGAACACTAAAACCTATACTACTGCTTACTACATAGTACTCTCTATCATATACTAACTATTGTACAGTGACTACTATAACATGTGTAGTTTAAGAGAGTTGTATGTGCATTTTCCCCTTGATTCCTCACAATGACCCATGATGAGAGTCAGAATTATTATCTTTCTCATTTTATAGAAAACCAAATTGGGGGAAATCATGTCATTTATCAGAGTTATTCAGTGCAATATTTGGAGCCCAGTGTAGATATTCTGGCTTCATTCTAATCCCCTGTCACAATCCCTGAGTTAAGAGGAAAATCAGAAAACCAGAGGCCCTAGAGCAGGCATTGTCTCAATTACAAGATTGAACTAAATTAGGTAGTGAGTTCCAACCTTCAACATAGGAGGATCCAACCACAACAGTCAGCAGAACAATGCTTGACCGTGACCCATCTGTTCCACCTGCACTCAAGTAGTTCCTATATTAGTGAAGATACCAACATTATTTTGTGAGATGAAAAAATGGCTATTCTCAACTTTATGACACATATTTTCACAGATTAAGCAAGACAATAGCTTGCCACTTTTAATTCACAGGCAGGGTTGTGAAGTTGGTATGGACCCTAAATGAGATGTCTGTGTTTGGGGTGATTGTGTTTTGCTACTTACTCCCTGGACAGTACTAACTGATGATGTGCTGATATGTGGAGAAAACTTCCTGCCTCTTTTTAAGACATTGATTTAATGTTTTAAATACAATAAGTCTCCAATTTACAGACAGGTTACATTCCAGGAGAATTGTTCATAAGTCAGATTTGTAATCTGACAAAAATGAGTCTTACAGTACACCTGTGAAAGTTCACAACTTGAATGTTTGTAAGTCGGGGACAATCTGTATTGATTTCAAGAGTGTTTGAAAACATAGAAGAGTCAGACAAGGAATCATCGGAATTGCATTGTCATGACTTAATCTAAGAATTTAGTAAGTCACTAAACTCTCAAGCTTAATTTTCTAACCTGAGAAATGGTGTTAATGACCCCTACCCTCTTTGATTACCATGAGAGTCACATGTAGGCATGAGCAGATTTAGAGTTAAAACATGTTAATTTTTGTGTCCAGTTCAAAAGGTACCATGTGCCAGGTTCTAAAACAATACTCACAGAATCACCCTGAGTACAATGTGAGAGTGACTTTAAATAGTCCTTGGCAGAATGCATGAATCTATGGATTTCTTTGATTAAGATACATGAGTATCTATATAGAAATATATGAGTATATGAGTATATAGCCTGGATCTCTGCAGTGTCCTTGAGTTTCAGCATCTGACTTGCTCTCTTCTCTTTTAGGGCCAATGATACAAGGATTGATGACAGCCACAAGGAAAACAAATACAACCCAATTCTGAATCACCTGCCTTTACCATCTGTATATAAAAATAATGCTTCAGAGCTCTTCTCATTTACAATAGGAAACAATACAGAGATGTTGGCATTGGACTCCCTGATTTTCAGTCTTTTCATCTCTTTCCTGCTAGCCTCTGTGGCCTGAGGGCATGGAAAAATCCCTATCCAGTCTGTGCTCTGGAAATCTCCCCATCATTATGTTGTCCATCCAGCTGCTTGTTAATAAATGTAGACTCAGCAGAATACATTTTTGGGGGGGACACAGGGTTTTTTTTTGTCAATTATTAGATACTAAGAATTTTATTCTACAGAAGTTGGAAAAATTCTACCCTGTTCCCGTGTTAAGTCCAATAGTAGAGAATGCTCACTCTTCACATTCAAGTTGCTGTTATGTCTGGGAAGGAGTATCTAGATGAGAGGTGGGCTGATACGTGCTCTCAAGCTGTCAACAGCTGTGTAATTCTACCTAGCACCCTGCAGGCTCCTGTATCTAGCTTCTGTATTTCCACATGAATAGCAAAACTGTCTTTCACTTTTGCGCATCCCAACCAATGTCACAAACTAGTAATTTTTCAAACCAAATCATATTGCTTCAGGACAATTCCCTACATTAAAACCTTGTAACCTAGTGTAGGAAAGACTAAGGAAATGTCTGGCAATATGTGCAAACCTCCAGGGCAGCACTCTCCAGCAGAAATGCAGTACAAGCAACATATGCAATTTTAAGTTTTCTAGTAGCTACACAAATAGGTAAAATTAATTCTAATAATTTATTTTATGTAGCCTAGTATATCAAAAGGTAGTAATGTAACCAATATAAATTTTTTAATTTACAAAGTTTTTGACAATGGGGTGTATTTTACACTTTCAGTGTATCTCAATTTGGACCAGCCACATTTCAAGTGCTCAATAGCTGCAGGTGGGTAGAAGTTACCATATTAGAAGATGCTGCTCTACCATGAGCTCACAGATATGGGAAATCTGAGGATGAACCCAAGAGTTAAATAGGGGTGGGATGAAACAATGTGTAAGCTCCTGCCTCCACGCGGAAACTGTGTCATTCTAAGAATCTTGTTACTGGTTTCCTATGGTACTATGTAGTCACCTAGTTCACTTGAAGATCCTGGACTGATACTGAACACATTCCCAGAGGGAGAAATCATATGGAGAATCCATTGTGGTCTAAGGCATTCTCAGCCACAAAAGAACTGTGCCTGGTGTCACTGATGTATTTGAATTTGGGAAAATAACTTTATATAGTTCCATCTGCTCTCTTTTTGAAAAAAACAAGTTTCCACTAGATCAATCATAATAGGATTTTGTGATTTTCGTCCCCTGTAACTGAATGAAACTCAAACTATAGGTGGCTGCCATGTCCCCACATGTTTTTTCCTCAGTGCATGGGCAGAGAGAAATCTCTGGTGTCTTCCTCTTTCTTATAAGGACACCAATCTTTTAAGACTAGAGCCTCACTCTTAAAACTTCATTTAGCCTTATTTTCCTTTTCCCAAATAGTCACACTGGGGATAGCATTTCAACCTATCCATTTTAAGAACACAATTCAGTCCATAATGCAACACATCAGATTGAGGAACTTGCCATATACTTTTCTCAGTGTAAAACACATGTTAAGTATATATAATGTCAACTTTTATAAGTTTTATCATTCCTATGTTTGTCATAGAATAGGAAGTGTGACTGGTGTGTGAGGACTCAAAGGGAGCAAGAAGAAGATAAGTCACAAAGATGAAAGACGGGAGACAGATGTCTGTTCATCACAGAATTTGTCTATAGCAAGGACACTACAGCCCCACAATCCAAATATGGTCCATCATCTACTTTTATAAATACAGATTTTGTATCTCTTACCCAAGATGCTAGGGACAAGAAATGGGGAATATTTGCATATATCTCTATCCCTATCTCTATCATCTATCTTTCTGATATATATATATATAGATATATATATATATATCTATATATATATATATCCATCTGCATGTATATATCCCTCCCATCCCCAAATTCTCATGTGCTCAGAGAAGGGTTTTTGAAGGGTGGTTGGATCATGGGAGCCCTGTATTCCAGAGTGAATTCATCTAGGGTGAATTCAGTGGCTCCTTCGCTCCCTGGTTCCTGGCTGCCAAGACACGAACAGCTTCTCCTCTGCCTGGCCCTTCAGCCATACTATTTCTGCATTGGTGTCAGCTGACCATGGATTGAAACTTCTAAAACTGTGAGCCAAAATAAACTTCTCCTCCTTTAAATTGTGACTGGTGGCCATTGTGTCTTGGTGATGAACAAAGTGACTGAGATGCTGAGCATATGCAAGTGGGTATAAATCAAAAATACAAATTCAATTAAATCACTTTTGATGTCATGTCCTTACACTCCATGTAAATCAAGCTGCATAAACCCAAATGTCATGTTCTTTCAAATGACATTATCGGTCTGATGGATTTTCAGATAAAAGAATAGAATTTACATTTCTAGTGATCCTAGAAAAATAATTAATTATCAGCAGAAATAGTCACTTCTGCTTGTTTATGGCATACTTCAATTCTACATCTACAAAGTATATGGCAGGAGGAAGTACATTTGAAAATATAGTCTACATATAGTAATGGAATAGAGATTAAAAATGAAGTCTAATGCTTTGACTGTCATGAAAGAAATTCAGAGAACCCATAATATAATGAAAAGTGGCCACCTACATATTCTCATCTCTAGAATTCATCTTGTTTCTAGAGTGTTAAGTGACAAACTGCTAGAGCTTTTTTTTTCTAAGGTCTCTAAAATGAGAATTGAAAAGTTGTATCCCCAGTGGATATTTTCTGAAGTTCTAGAAGTCCATTGAAAAGTCAACTGGGAAATGATACATCCTTCTCCATTCACAAGCCATTCCTGAGTGCTCAGGAGAAGTGCCAGTAGTTGAGGGGGTGGATTTAGCTCAGTGGTGCCGTCTCCTACTTCTCAAGTGCAAGGTCCTGAGTTCGATCTCTGGTACAAAAAAAAAGAGTCAATGAGGAAGTAGTTGGATGGGCTCCTGATATAAGAATGTCTTTACTGAAGGACATCTTGTATTGCTGCTTACCCTCAATTAGCTCTTACCTGAAAGCACAATATACTATTCTAGAAAAAGAGTAAAATTCCAACACTATCACTTAATGTTAAACAAGAAACAATAACAAAACATGAACAATAAAAGCAATAGTATAGAACTGTGAACCAGTTTTTTCTTATTTTTTTGCTTCCTACCACAAAATTATCAGAAAAAGGTGTATAATTTTGACTCAGAGGATGTTTGAGTTAACATGACAAAATTATAAATAATGAGCAAAAAATACTCGTTCTGGTTTGAATATTTTAAAAGTTAAGTAAATCCAAAAGAATAAAGTTTTAAAGAAAAACAAAAGAGACTGACCTTTAATACTGGCCAAGAGTACTGGTTAGTGTCTTATCAACAACTGGTTTTGAAGAATCTAGGTAGTCATATGCAGCAGAACAGAATTAGACTGTTATTTAACACCTATACAAAATCTATTACAAAATGAATCAAGGAATTGCATGTAAGACCTGAAACTGTAAAAATGATAGGAAAAAAACAAGGAAAGCTTCATGACATTAGTCTTCTCAGTGATTTCTCAGGTAATACACCAAAACATAGGAGATGAAAGCAAAAATCAGGTGCAACTGCATCAAACCAAAAGCTGCTACACAGCAAAGAGAACAATCAGCAAAGCGGAAAGGAAAATTGTAGAATGGGATTAAATATTTTCAAACCATATATCTGATGAGAGGCTAGTATCCCAAATACTTTCTCTACCTCAGTAGCAGAACTACATGTAACAAACCAATAATGCCCATGGGTACATGAGAGTGTGTGGACATTGCTAATCATCAAGAAATGCAAACCAAAACCACAATGAGCTATGGCCTCAAACCTGACCGGATGACTGCTATTGAAAACAAAAGGTAAATGTTCACAAAGTGCAGAAATTGGAAGCCTTGTGTACTCTTTATGAGAGAAATTTTGCAATCATCAGGAAGAACAGAATAGAAATTCTTCAAAAAATATTAAAAATTTAATTTCCATATGAGCAAGTACTTCCACTGCTGGGCATGAATCCAAAAGAATTGAAATCAGAGCCTGAAAGAAATAATGTACTCTCGTGTTTAGTGCAGGGTTATCCACAATCACCAAGAGGTGAAAGGACCCTAAATGCCCACACACAGAGGGATAAGGAGAATGTGGGATAGACGTACAATGGACTATCGCTCACCCATAAAAGTGTCACATGTTACAACATCCCTTGAGGACATCGTGCTGAGTCCAAGGCAAATACAAAGTGGCAGATTCTGTATCAATCTGAAGCAGCCCCATTCATAGGAATAGAATGCAGAACGGAGGGTGCCAGGAGCCAAGAGAAGGGTTAAATAAAATGGCTATTCCATGGGAATAAGGCTTTAGGCATTGGAAATAAAAAGAAGTTCTAGAAAACTGCTGTAAAATGTTGTGTTTATAATTAACACAACTCCACTGCACCCTTGAAATTTGTCAACTGGGTGAAACTCATACCCTGTATATTTTGCACAATTAAAAAAAATCTGCCTGGCAGCATCCCGAGGAGGTAAGAGCCTCCAAAACACATCTACTGAACCTAGTACAGTACAGCCAGAGATAGATTTGGGCATATTTTCTTCTTAGCTGCAATGTTAAGTATATTTTTACACTGTACTGTTTTCAGTATTTTCCTCATAATACATATGGTTATGGCAAGGATTAATTGTAATACCTCAGCTTGATTGGAGTAGGAAATACCTGGCAGGTTAGTGAAGCACAGCACTGGGTGTGTCTCTGAACAAGGGACATGGAGGCCAGCAAACAGAGGAGGGCAAGACACACCCTGCTTGTGAATGGCACCAAGCAATAGACTTAGAGTCGGGATGGAATAAAAGAAGAAAAGAGGAAGAGAGTCTGCCTGTTTTGAAGCACTTCCATCTTCTTTTATTCTTTTAATTATTATTTTTTACTTGTATATGTTTGCAGTACATAATGCTTACATTCCTCATGGGGAGTTGGTACATGTACA